CACACACACACACACACACACACACACACACACACACACACACACCTATACTGTAGTGGTCATTAATGTAGCCAGTAATGGACTGTTCATACACCACTGTACACTATATGTCGTTGAGCCATAAACCCTCATAGAATGGCATAATTTAATATGTTGTGCAAAAGTCTTGAGCCACCACTCATTTGTTTAAATTTAGATATCTATTTAAATATTTATTATCTCTTTATATATCTGTGAAGGCAAACATGTTGCAAAATGCAAGAGCCTGCATAATAAAAAGTGAGAATGTGTAAAAAAATTTTAATGTAACTTGTGGGGACCAGGATTTTGGTCCCCACAAGTTTGAAGGCTAGCTCCCCAGTGCCAGCTCAGATAACAGTTGTTGTTTCAACACACATTGCTACCACTGCTATATCCTCTACAAACTGTCTTGTGTAGATGACTTAGTGAAACAATTAATTCAACCGTCTTGTGACACAACATACATCCTCTATATTGCACAAGGCTGTAACCATCAATAACTTTGCATCTGTCCATTACCAGCTATTTCATTTTGTACAAATCCACTCTTCTAAGTTTGTGTGGTTTTTCTGTCTGACCAGATGCAGCTTTCTGCACCATCTTGTACTTATCACCACACTGTGTTTATGTGCTAAAAGAGTAATTTCCTTCCTTGTTACTAAAATTGATTCTGAAGTATGATTTCACTAACTCAGATGGTGCAGCAGCTGTGGCAGTTTGTCTTGAAACAACAGCTGTAATGTCCACATTTTGACTTTTTTCTCAAAACAGATGTTCGACTTTAATCTTGAAATTTCGACTTTATTCTCAAAATTATGAATTTAGTTTTTCTTAATGTGGCCCTAACTATATCTCTCTGGATTTGTATATTTAAAAAAAATGGTACAGTTAATTCTAAGTTTTCAAACAAAATTTAATGATGGCTTAAAACTTTTGCCCCTATAATAAAACTTCAGACCAGGTATGACCATCAGGTTGCTCCAAGTCACATTTAGCTTAGCACACTTTTAAAACAGCTAACCTAGCTCCATCACAAGGTTAGCTTTTACCGAACTGTTATATTTGGAATTGTACTTTCTACAGATTTTATGTACTTGCATTTCATCTTAATTTCTAACATGTAAGTTTGTTTTTATTTTTAATTTGCAACAAATATTTCTTCAAAGTGATCATTAAAGCACTCCTGATCCTGACTGATTAAATCCACACAGAACTCAAATATACACACGTATTGTGTAGTATATCACGGGGCATAAAAAAAGCCTTGGATTTTTAAATCTATATATGCCATTAGATAGGTTTGTACTGAAAAGCTTATCACTGACCAATAACAGTGTCTCCTAAGTGTTTGTTTTAAGGTTACCAGCTTTACTGAATATGTAGTTATTTGATTCTACTGGTCGTGGTCATCCTGATAACCACAACTACATGCAGTACATCTTTATACATGTGTGTGTGTTAACCTGTATGTGGTGTATGGTCCTGTCAATGGCCTCAGCGAGTAGCAAAGTCACAGTGCATCCACCGAATCCTCCTCCTGTCATCCGGCTGCCAAAGACGCCCTCCACTTCCATGGCTGCAGACACCAGCTCATCTAGCTCCCTGCAGCTCACCTCGTACAGATCTCTGCCACACGGACATCGAGTTACAACATGCCTGACAGTGACCTATACAGTAACTCATTTGCTATCTGTACCTCAGACTGTTGTGGCTCTCAACCATATGTTTGCCAAACTCCTTGTATTCTCCTCTTTCTAGAGACTTAGCAGCTTGGACAGTTCTTTGGATCTCCTCAATTACATGACGAGCTCTTCTGTAGGTAACATCATCCATCCTTCCCCTGGCCTCTGAACCGATAAACAATAAACAGGGTTAGCTTTAACTGATGAGTTTAAAAAACCAAAAAAATATATACAGTCATCTAAAAGTACTGAAATGCTAATAAGTGCTTTCAAATGGCAAACAAGTGGTTGAAACTTAAAGTTATGTGTGTAAAAAAAGTAAAGACAAGTCAAAGGTCAGCAAAATAGAAATGCTTAAAAAGTTCAAAGCAGTAATAAAATAAGTGAAACATTTATGAATTACTGTAGTGGTGAAAAATTTGAGTCAGGCAGAAGGCGATACCTGGTTTATTCAACATGCCTAAGGTAATTTGTTTTACTTCATATTATTAAAACTCTCAGTTACCGGCTCTCACAGTACATTATTGGCAAATAATTTATTTGGCTTTTGCAATAATTTGAATTCCTACACACTGTATATAATTAATAAAAATAACCTGGACTCAGATAAATACTTTAAGACCTTGTTTGTGGGGACTGTAAGTTGTGGTTTTTAAGGCTTTCAAAGACCTGCCAATGAACTGTAAAACAGTAAGAGAAAATGGATTACAACAGGAAGGAAAAAAAACATCCACACCCTCTAGGTCCTTCATCGTAGCATCCCTCAGACTGTCCTTCCCCAGAATGGAGGCAGCCGTCTCACATTGCCTGCGTCTTACGGGATACTCACTGCAACTCAGAGAGTGCCTTACATTGGAGTTGGTGACGAGAATGACCAGGCCTGGATCTGTCAGAGGAACAGGGGTGGCCTCCAGCGATCTGTCAAACATGTTTTTTTTTCTTTTTAATTTTAATGAAAATATAGTAACAATGTCTACCTTGTGTAACCAAAGACCATCACTCACTAGATGCTTGTACTACCTGCAGTCAATGAGCAATGCATGGCCCTCCTTGCCAAGAACAGATACAAACTGATCCATAATGCCACAGGGTACATCAGCATGAGTGTGTTCAGCCTGCTGACAGGCTAATGCTTTGGACACCTGGTTTCCATCATCTATGAGAAAAAGAAAAGTAAAGAGTAGATCAAACGGCTCCAACACCATCGGCCTGTTAGTGAAATCAATAAGCATCGGCTGTCAGTACGAGTATGGTTAGACGTTAAGAGCGCTCAAACACTCTAACCATATCTTGGAATACATTTTGTTTTAGCATGAAAGCTGTTATTGCCAGGCCACCATCACTCTAACAAAGAGTGAACAGCAATGGCCCCATCAAAATGTGCCACGTGAGACTGAAAACAAACACGTGTTGAAACAAGCAGGTAGCAGAGAGGTGATGAGAGGTCAGGACTGTATATCACTTATTCCTTAAGTGAATCTGAAGGCATTTACTACTTGAGAAGTCTTCTTTTGGCATAATGACTTAAATACTACTGGGCAGCTTTATCAAGAATAATACAGCATCATATATCGGCAGATTATTCTAAAATCTGAACGAAATCAAAACAATAAGTAAAATAAATGGTAGAGTATAATAACTGCAAGGACTAAATGTAGTGGAATAGAATAAGAAAGCAGTATAACGCAGAAATACTTGAATTACGTATTCAGTCACTGCCATGTCCTCTAATATGACTCTAACCTGGCTTCAGTTGCTGCAGGAAGGTGTAAAAGGCCACCTCTAGAGAGGCAGAGCTGGACAGTCCTCCACCCAGGGGGACACTGGTGGCTATCACTGCCCTGAAACCTGGGACTGGAGAAGCTAAAACACAAGACAGATAAAAAGTAGACTTTTTGGATTTGTTTTTTAAATTTTGATTGTGAGATTCTGCTTGACATCTGTTCTACTTCACTGTGACAGTATAATGTGTTTACAGTCTTGTTTACCCCTGTAATGGTGTATAACACCCTTTACATAGTTGGCCCAGCGGGGTAACCCTGGAGACAGTGCAGATCCATCACGAGACAGGCAGAAGTCCAATCGGTGAGGCTCGTCAGCGTCGAAGGCTGCGGTTACCACGGTAACATCCTGGCCGGATATTTCACTACCCACCACCACAGTCACCAAAGGAAGGGCCTGACAGCAAATGCACAAGGAAGTGCTTAGTTTTGTCTTTAGTCTTTGTGTCAAGAAGAAATTTCTTTCCAGAAGTTATTTAAAAAAGAAGAGAAAAATCACTGTTGCACTATTCTTACTATTACTAACATAAAATCATTTTATTAAAATCAGATCTTTGCCTGTTTTCGACATGAAAGTGATAATGCAAGACTCAGTTCAACAGATGAAGCTTTCTATTGAGTGGCAGTGTGGAACTGATACCATTGGAAGCACGAGTCCCTGGTTGTAGTCGGTGTGCTCTCCTATTAGGTTCACTCTTCCAGGCGCGCACACCGCCACTCGAGCAGGCTCCTCACCGAACATCTGTCCGTACAGTCGCCGGGCCTCCGAAACAAGCTCGGACACACTCGGAAAGCAACTAGCCATGTAGCAGATTTCTTTAAAGGGTTCAACAAAAATGATGAGCTGTCAGTGTCAACAGACAGGCGAAGTGCTCGAGCAATCATGTGACGCGTCCTTCTTCTTTTTCTTCTTCTTCTTTATCATTTATTGGCGGTTGGCAAACAGCAAAATGGTGAATTACCGCCACTAACTGGTGTAGAGTGTGCCCTGAAATATTAAAAAAAACCTACAAAAAAATCCTTCCAAACAAATTAGTCTGTCTTAAAAAACAAAATATGACCTGATAACTTTCACTCTTCGAGTTCTTGCAAAGTAAATCTAACAAATCCAGTTTCACTTTCATCTAACCGAGCTTTTGAATCAGTTTTCTTCTTTCCTCGTCACATTTCTGGCAGTGCACTAAAACATGTTCCATGGTGTTATCTTCTCTACTGCAGTCACATTTTCTTGTATGGTGTTTTCCTTTTAAAAATAACGTGCTATTCAAACCAGTGTGCCCAAATCCGCCTCTCTCCTGTTCCTTCCTGTGCTTCTCATTTCTCCTGTTTTCTTTTGGATTTTGTAAAACCATCACCTTTTCCTCTCTTCCTCCCATTGCTTTTGCCACCTTTCTTCCATTTTCTACTCTTAATCTCTGTCCGACTGACATAGATGACCAGATCCACTGAAATTCTCTTTGTAGCTTCCTTTGCTGTCCTATCTGCCATTTTGTTTCCTTTAACTCCACGATGCACTGGTACCCATGAGAATGTGACCATAAGCCCCATCATATTGACTTTGTGTTTGCTGAATCTCTATCAGAATGCCGGATCTGCTGTCTGAGTGACTGTCTTGCAAACTAGCCAATGATTAACTTGAATCTGAGCATATCACCGATCTTAATGGTCTTCTGTCTTCAATCCACTGGACAGCCAACAGTATTGAGACCATTTCTCCCGTGTATACTGATGATCCATCACTGATCCTTTTCCTTACTTTGAAACAAAACTCAAGAACAATAAATGCTGTCCCACTTTGGTTGGTCTTCCTTGATGCATCTGTGTACATTTTGACATACTTGTAATACAGACCAATGTATTCCTGTGCTGTATGTGAATTTAAAATAAAACCCCTATCCTTGTTCTTTTTGTCCAATAGTGTGAAATTTACTACAGCATCCATGGTGGTATTGTAGGTAATGGTGCTGTTTCACTAATGCTGATCTTGTCCAGCTTAAGTTCAGGTGCTTTCTGACTCAGTGTCGACCCAAAGCTCTTCATTCCTCTTTTTCCCAGCAGGATTTAAAAACAGTTTTTGTTGGATGATGTTGACCATGTCCTTAGAGACTTGTCCAGTAGTTCAGTGTTAGCCGCTCTCTTCTGATTTCTAGTGGCATTTCTCCCGTCTACATGTACTGCTGCTGTTGGGGTTGTTTTAAATGCACCTGTGCAGACTCACGAAGACTTGCTCCGGCAGCAGAATTATATGCTATACACCCATAATCCAATACTGATATAATTAACCCAGTATTAACACTACATTATTTTGCAGATGTTTGATGTTAAAGCAATTGGTCTGTAGGTTCCTGGCTTGTATCATCCTTCTCTGGTTTTTGTGCCACATGAGCTTTGTGGTAACTTCCCTACCTCCAAACTCTATCCCTAATATTAATTGAGTTATGATTTTTACCAAAGGTTTTTGCCATCTTATGTGCCTTTTCTTCATTTTTCACTGCTGTAACTTCCCCATCATTTAATACTGGATGCCCATATTCTCTTATAATTGTATTCATCCTTCTGATCATTGACCATACCTTATCAATTTCTGTCTCTCTCCCCACAGAATTACAAAAGCCCCTCCAACTGTCCCCCGTTGCATTTTAATGGTTTTTCTTACATTGGCTTGTGACTTTTTCTATTCAACAGGATTCTGATAATTCTGATTTCTTTTTAACATTTTAAAAGCTTTATTTCAGCACCTCATCATATTCCTTTGTCCACCAGTATACAATCTTTTTGCTTCTACCTCCTTTCACTTGACTTGAAAGGAATCCATGTTTATAAAGTCAACAAGAGCAATGTGCTGAGCTCATTGTGGACTCAAATTCTTTGTTGTGAGGTTCTGGTTGGTTTGAAAATATCATGTGATTCAGCAAATGACCTGCTTGATTTCTTTATTTTTTGATTATTTATGATAACAGCATTCAAAGAGGACAGATCTTTGCTCCACCGAAAGAGTTGCCTCAGGGGGACTTAGTGGCTCTCATGTAAAAAGTCCTCAGCAAAATTTTGGTTTCTGTCCAATTAAATAGATTCAAGTTTACTAACTAAAAAAAGTTGTTGGGCAAAATACTTTTTATATGCCAGGGTTACACTATCAATTTCCACCTGAAGGCCACAGTCCACGGTAAGTACAAGAATTGAAACAACAATCCTTTTGTAGTGAGTAACTGTATTACAAAGTGACTACTTTGGATAAAACATATGAATATTTATTTATAAATAATTAAAAAATAAATATGAACACTGAAATCCTGCTATCATTGCGATACTAACAGGTCAAACACAATTTCTTGATAATAAATGGCTTCACCCAACCACTCCACAAGACACTAATTCTTGTAAACTAAATATAAAGAATGAAAGATTGAAAAAAAAAAAGTCTTTAAATGTTATACAAAACAACAGAATAATGACAGTGAGACAACAATGCTGAAATCAATACTTATTTACTAGCTGACAGTGATATTTTTCAGTTTGTTGAACACTATTCAGAAGAATTGTTTGTTATAAATATCACAAGTTTGATTGGTGTACAGAATGTATGCACAAACACAATATTTTAAATATAATAATAACAAAAACAGTGAAAAAGGTTCAAATTTGAGTTTGTCTGCAATTTCTACAGTTCAGAAAACAGTTTTTGATATTTTAACCTACAATGTACAAATGAAAGTGAGGAAAATCCAGAGAAATAACTTATAAAATCTGGGGTGGCTGTAGCTCAGGTGGCAGAGCAGGTCAGCCACTAATCAGAAGGTCGGTGGTTCGATCCCAGGCTGCCTCCTGGCTGCATGCCAAATATCCTTGGGCAAGATACTAACCCCATGTTTGCCTACTGGTGGTGGTCAGAGGGCCCGGTGGCGCCAGTGTCTGGCAGCCTCGCCTCTGTCAGTGCGCCCCAGGGCAGCTGTGGCTACAATGTAGCTGCCATCACCTCTGTGTGTATGTGTGGGTGAATGACTGAATGTAGTGTAAAGCGCTATACAAATGCAGGCCATTTACCATTTTGTGATCTTAGCAGAATATCAGCATGTTTTTTTGGTTAGTTCTGTTTCAGTTTTGTCATTTAATTGTCTCATAAAATGATGGGCCTGACAGTAAATGTACAATTCTTGCCTCAGACATTTCTAAATATCCATTTGTGCTAAACTTATGTTCACATGCCCACGTGGTATCTTAATTAAACATCGAACAAATATGTGACAAAACTACCATACTCTGACGAATAGATTTTGCATGTCTATTATGTAATCGATTTAATCATTTTAAGCCTTTATGTTTACAGTAAGCTACAGCTTCAGAATAATACTGTCTGTCCACTACCCAGTGCTAAAAACACTTTCGATTTGAATTAAAAAGTTCTCATATAGTTTGTCTTTATATAGATGTTATAGGTTCTGTAACCTTTAAAAAAAAAAAAAAAGTCAGATCGATATATGATCTTTTAACACCAATACTGATATTTGGAGATTTTAAATCTCTGACATTCCAGTGAATTTCCTGTAGTCTTTTCTTTCAGATGTATAAAACATGACCAGATTACCCTAACATTTATTTGTAGTTATTTATTTCCTTGTTTTACACTTCACCCTGCTCAGATCAGCTGTTCCATGTGTTACCAACAGGACAGCCGCAGAGTGTCCTCTTGTGGACACAGTCTGCAACTTCAATGCTCATAACATGGTTGAAGGAGAAAAGCAATATTAAAAATCTTCCCCTAAATATAATAACGATGCCAGCCAGCCAGCGCAGGAGAAACTGCAGTTAAGTTTCCACACAGGACCTGGTTTGTAATAAATAAAAACTTAAAAACTGTATTTTGTATTTATTCAGGTTATCTTTTTCTGATACTAAAATGTGTTTGTTGATCTGAAATATAACTGTAAGAAATATACAACAAAAAAAGAATCCATGAAAGGAGCAAATACTTTTTCACAGCACTGTATATCACGTTTATCTAGAGCAGAGGAAAATGTTTGATCAATGTGGCAACAGGATATGTGAGGGATACATTTAGTCTAGCAGCATTATCCACCTCCTCCTAGCAGGTCCCAAAGTCTTCCCAAGCTGGAAAAATACATAACTTTTCCTGGCCAGACTTGGGCATTCCCTGAAAACAGAAGATCAGCGGCTCTACTCTTTCTAAGGAGAAACCTCCTTTGGCTGATTGTCTCTGAAATCTCATTACCCAGACCTCATGATCCTAGATGAGGATGGAAAAGTAAGGTCAGAGGTGAATCAAAACATGTACACTTTTATACTCTACCACAATGCTCTGGTATGACTCAAGTATCACTAATAATATTACCATAATAATGGTATAATGGATAACAATATAATCCACCTGACTCACACTTATTTTGCACTGGTTGAAAAACGATAAAACAACACTGCAAAACCAATATTTTATCATAGATACATTAATATAGATTATAGATTAATGTATCTATTAATCTATGATTAATATAGATTACAATACTCTCATACGATATCTTTACTAATAGAAGTATTTCTTGGTTATGAAATCATTTTTGTTTATGTAATTCAAGTTTACAGATCCAGAACCTCATGTCATACTAATACATAACAAAACAGTATTAATCACAGGGGAAAATCAATTTTATTTCAAGTTTAATTCTAATTCTAATGGATGTTGAACATCTGCTTTGCTTTGTCTCCATACTTAAACATGAAGGTCAATATATTCATGTGTTAAAGTGGGATTCAGCAGGTGTGGGAACCCTGATATTTGAGCGGATTTTGTGTTTAGGCTGTGGTTAGCCTAAACTGTACTACTGCTCTTATTGGATGGTTGTACGACACCAACTGACAGACAGTTGAGTTGGTGTCGTACAACCATTGTTGGGAAGGTTACTTTTATAATGTATTCCACTACAGATTACAGATTACATTACCCAAAATGTATTTTGTAATGTATTCCGTTATGTTACTCAATGAGAGTAATGTATTCTGAATACTTTGGATTACTTAATATATTATCATGCTTTTTACAACTACATGAATGTACTATTGCTGTGTGATTTATTACTATCACTGAAGGTTACTGGCCATACCAATACCAACTAGATTTTTAAATCTTAATATAAGTAACAGTAACAGTAGGTGGACATTAAGTAAGGCTGCACTTTTTGCAGCGATCTCGTATAGAAAACTATTCAGCGCGTATATAAAACAGGCTCCGAACCGTAGTAAAGGGACCTCTGGCTAATACGTCGGTTCGCGTCGGGCTCGTAGCCGAAAACTAGCTTTACTTTGTTGTCTGGGTCAACTTTGATATGCGGGCTGCAAGTAGAGGTGACATGGGCCGCGAGATTGAGACACAGTCATTAAAGCCTCTTAATGCATGTTTTGTTTGGGTGTCCACCAGCGTGGAATTACCATAAATAGAGAGGGCATAGCCTAACATATGAAACAGGAAAAGACCGCCATGCAATGCCTTTGTTTTAACAAAGTAACTGTATTCTGAATACCACCCTTTTAAACGGTAAGTGTAACGGAAGACAGTTACTTTAAACACGTAACGCCGGTACATGTATTCCATTACTCCCCAACACAGCATACAATACCAACTGTCCAAACTTTACTCTTGGCACAGTACAGTCAGACAAGTACCATTCTCCTGGCAACCACAAAACCCAGACTCATCCATTGGATTTCCAGACAAAGAAGTGTGATTTGTCACTCCAGAGAAAACTTCTCCACTGCCCTAGAGTCCAGTGGTCTCATGCTTTACACCAAGTGCTTGTATTATATAATGCTTGGACGCAGCTGCTCGGCCATGGAAACACAGTCCATTATGCTCTCTATGCACTGTTCTCAAGCTAATCTGAAGGCTACATGAAGTTTAGAGGTTCTGGAGCAATTGACTCAGAAACCTGGTGACCTCTGTGCAGTATGCACCTCAGCATCCACTGACCCCACTCTGTGGTTTTATGTGGCCTACCACTTTGTGGCTGAGTTGCTCTCATTCCCAGTCGCTTTTACTTTGTTATAATACCACTAAAAGTTGATTGTGGAATATTTAGTAGCAAGGAAATTTCATGACTGGACTTGTTACACAGGGGGCATCCTAACAGGACATCCTGGAATTAACTGAACTCCTGAGAGTAACTCATTCTTTCACTGCATGCCTACGCACTTGATTTTATGCACCTGTGGCCATGGATGTGATTGGAACACCTGAATTCAATGATTTGGATGCGTGAGTGAATACTTGTGTATGTATTAAGCTGTTTGAAACTTTGTACTTCCAATTGCCTGCCACTAATCTTACTTCTTTTATGCTTGATCCTCTTCTGTAGCACTAGCTAGATTTCCCTTTGTTTAATTCATCACATGCTATAAGAACCTGTGATGGATACACTAACAGTTATCTGTTACTTTGATGTTTAAATGTCAAGAAATAACTCTTCTCAAGTGTTTTAAATTTAAAGTAACAAACATTTAAAAATGTAAGGAGTAGAAAATATGTATATTGATATACAGATATATTTTGGTTAAGATGTAGGGAGTAAAAGTAAAAGTTGTCACAAAAATAAATACTCAAGTAACGTGCAGATACACAGATCTAAAACAGAGCTAAAAATTCTACTTAACTACAACAGCATGTATATAATACAAAGTACTTGTACTCTATTAGTTCCCAGCTCTGACTCCGACCCTACTTCTAAGAGTTTGAAGTACTTGGGAAGCTTTCTACAAATGAGACATTATTACAATTATTCAGGTAAAACAGACACTTAAATTGACTGCTCTGAAATCTTAGGTGCATCATAAGTCACTGGTATGGATAGTATTACCTAATTGGCTTTTAGCATTGCATAACAATGTTGTCTTCTTAACAAATCTCAAATACAGTTTTGAAACATTTCTATTGCGTAAAAAAAATGAATCAGTTGATGATACCGTGAGAGAAAGCTGTAACCACTGAGTTTTCTCTGATTAACTACCATGGAATGATCATGTGGCTGAAAGGCAGAAGTGGGATTAGGGATTCTTGGTTGGAAAGTGGGTTGGCGATTTTGCTGAAGATTTGGAATTCTGACAGGGAGTGACCTTAATATGTATAAAGAGTGACGCAGGTGAAAGGCTTGATCCATCCATCTTGAGCAGTCGGACATGACGATAACCTGCAGAGTTAAGGGGGTTTAAGATAAGTAGAATATGTGGCTATTCATATTGTGTTGATGTTGACGACACCCACACACCCACACACTCATATTAACCCATTCGCTGCCACACATACCTGTGCGGACACTGGGGAAAGGGAGAGTGAATTGTCCCAGGAAGTCATTTCTGGAAGTATAGTCATGATCCTCCACCAAAAAGCGGACCAGAGCCAAGTCAGGGACATGGACGGTAAAGTTAAAGGTGCAGTCCCACCGTGGATTAAAGCCTGTAATGAAGAACATAAATTCACACACTAAGTTTTGCAATGTGTAAAGTGATAGTGTTTCTAAGCTTTTATGCCTGGTGTAAAACTGAGCTGTCCACTTTTAATACAACCTAACATGATTCCGGAATAGAAATCACTGCATGGCTCAAGAACTGTTAGTGAACACCATTCATCACTGCATTTCCAAAGTTCAAACTTTACCATGCAAAGGAAATAAAGTAAATGAAAAACAATCATAAGATGTCAGAACATAATTAAATTTTTCATCAGATGAAAAATGTGATACTTAGGACACTCAAGTTTAACATTAGCTGTTATACACTCTCACATTGGTGACAATAACGGGAATAAATAAACATGTTTATTCATGTTTTCATGTGTTAGAGCCCTGATTGCAGTTCAGAAGCTGAGCTTTAAGGTGAGGAAGAGGACCACAGTTTATCCGTAGTTGCATTAACTCGCTATTAGTTTCTTTCACATTCTTACTTCTTCCATGGCTTCTTCTTCTGAGATGATAAAACATACAGTAGTTATAATCCTTAATATCTTGACACTCAAGGTGCAAAACTGAATTAAAAATTGGCTCCATGGCACACAAGCACCTATGAATTATCTTCTTCTCCACATTTAGCATATTACATACGTGGCCAGTCTCTAGCCACATACTTAGGCAGAATCGCAATTTCCATCTGGCCCACTGTTTTAAACACTGCGCAACATGGTGAATATTTACAAAAGCAGTATATGTAAATTTTATTGAGCAGAGGTGGCAAAAATACACATTGTTTACTTTAGTAGAAGTACAGATACTGGTGTTAAAAAATACTCTGGTAAAATTACTGATTCGATTTCTTTACTCAAATAAAGTGAAAAAGGATGAAATGTACTTGTAGTGGCTCAGCATGGGGGAAAGAAACACAACTCGTAATAATTTCCATTGTGCGCTCCAGTAGATTTTCTTTGTATACAGGGTCTGCTCAGCTGATCTGCTGCTGCTGCTGCTGAGGTTCACTGCTCTTTGTGGATTTACACAACTTAATTCAACAAGATGTAACCCAATATTTCATAAGCTATCTTGGCTTATTTCTAACCCCTGCACTAATATATACTGTTTATAATGTCTTTATACAAGACAGTATACAGGCGGTATGAAGATGGAATTTAATGAATGAATCTAAGCATCATCAGGTTATTGTAAATTAACACTGACCATGAACATCACAGCCACTGTGCAACAGTCCGTAACAGTGCTTTACTGTAAATTCCTCACAATACTGCTAAGCTAACCTGTTTATCCTGCACTAAACTGCAGAATATGTTCATGCAGCTTTTGAATAATATAATTGTAGTGTACCTCAATTTGTTTTGCAGGAAGTTTCACAATATGAAAATCATAACTTCACATCGTCAAAGGAGCTTGCAAAGAAAAGGGTCTGGACTTCTTTAAGTTACTTGAAGACGTTTCACCTCTCATCCGAGAAGCTTCTTCAGTTCTAAGGTCAAATGGTCTTAAGGATAAAGGACACTCTTTCGAGGATGCCAATGTTCACATTTTGGACAGAGAAGACAGACGGTTTGAAAGAGAAGTGAAAGAAGCATCTATGTCCACTGTGAGCGACCATCTTTGAACAGAGGCGGGGGTTTACGACACCAACTCTCTGCCATCTATAATCCAGTTTTGAGATCCCTTCCCAGACGCCTTAACGCCCACTCACATCCTGGGCCAGCTGATCTCAGGAATTCGCATGATAAGGTGGGGCCAGATTTCACAATGAACACACCCGAAACTCTGGCTGATTGGGACCCACACCCAGTTTCACACCTTGGCTCAGGCGATTAGAGGATCATCAGGGGGTCCTTTTGTCCCTCTGTGGGGGGTTACTCCCACTAGGTTTATATCTGGGACTCTCCACCATTTGACCTTAGAACTGAAGAAGCTTCTCGGATGAGAGGTGAAACGTCTTCAAGCAACTTAAAGAAGTCCAGACGCTTTTCTTTGCAAGCTCCTTTGACTACGATGACCTGGATGACTGAGAACCTTCACAGACATAACTTCACATCATACACAGATCCAAGATATTATTTAAAAATTAGGGCATGCCTAAGTTTTAATTTGCAGTTTATCAAATGCCAGTTGGAAAGTACACACGGTGTAACTTGAGCGAGCAGAAACACACAAAACATATAAGCTGTGCACAAACAGTGTGTTTGCTATTATTTGTTGAGCTGATAGAGAAGTTTCATTTGAAATTACCTGAGTTATTCCCTTTTTATGTACCCCTCCTGTGTAGTGCTAGCTTGACACTAAAATACCGAGACCACAACGGACAGACATCTGCACCAAAAACACCACTTCAGCCCACTTTCACCCCTAGTTAGTAGGGGTTTAAACTGGTTTGATGTTTGGATTTTTTGACATTTTTATATATAAAGAGTAATAATTGTAATACCTCAAATTTGTTTTCATATTCTTATGGTCCTCATTTTTATTTTAGTTTAGATTATTTCTAGTTGCACAGGGGGAAAAGACATTATGGCCCAGTCTGTTTTCTGTAAATATTGCAGAATAGATAATAAAGTTGACTTCTTTTCTTCTAAACTTCTTTTATAAAGGTGGTCACATTTGCTGCTGATTGGCCACTACTTACTCTCTTAATTTTTCTGAAAGCAATAAAGGTGTTATTACTTTTTCATAGGTTGCCTCTGCAGGTTAGCTTCATTTTTCTTAAATAAATAGTGATGTTGTACTATGTCCCAAAGAGAACCCACATGGGTACGAAATTATAACCTGTCACAATCAACCCAGGAACCTCTTTCTGTGAGATGACAGGGCTAACAACTACGCTACCCTTAAAGCTGAAGCCATTTAACTATAAAATGATATTTTATTGTAAAGACATATATACCATTGTTTTCAACATAATGCGTTTTCTTCTTATTGTTGTCAATAGGAGCGCCGTGGATCTCCACCCACACTTGTGGGTCCACAATGGAGCTGGGCTTATCCCATTCTGGTTTAGGCAGCTGCTGAGCTGAAATGACCTGGAATAACAACAAAGCAAGAGAGATCTTTATTTAATTAAAGTATCATTATAGATTGGAGAAGAAGAACCCACTCAAGAAATAGACACATTTCTTTAATGGGAATCAATATTGAGGCAACTAGAGCTTTCTAAAATCGTTACAATAAGAAACATTTGGTCACCAAGCTTAAAATACTCCTAGACAGATTTAGTTTCCATCTTACCCGAACAGTGAGCATGACAGGTCTGTGGCCAGGACCTCCTCCCACATTCTCAGGATTGAAAGTACTGTCAGGCTGACACAAGAAGGCAGGTTTCAGAATGTACCCACACTCACCATTTTGCAGAAACCTGCCTTGGTTCAAATCCATCTGCTCACCAGGTGTCTGGAAGTTCAGAGCAACTGGAGAAAACAAAACATCAGTGTGAAGAGCTTGCAGGCCTCCTGAGACAATGTCCATTAGTCTACCCACTGGAGGCGCGAGTGTGGGAGAACAGTTAGTGACAGTTCTGTTTGCTTCTCTTAAAAATAGAACAACATATTAAAAAATGCTCTCACCAATTTGACAGCCTGCATTCCACATCTCCTGAGGGTTATAGTTGGAGGAATGGAGGCGCTGGCCTGAGGGGTAGATCCTGCTCAAGTGGTGACTGTTGTGACGAACAAAATACACCCCTGAATTGAGAGAACAAGAAAAGTTCAACACATTTTGCATTGTCGTTATGCTCTTGAATAAGGTACAGTCAACACAGGAATTTCTCTACCCAAATTCTAAGTTTATATAAACTTCTACATCTAGATCGCAGCACACAGTTCTGTGCACAAGTCTCTATCTTTAGATTTTGCTTGCTAGGTGCCCAGGCCTAGCCACGCACACACACACACACACACACACACACACACACACACACACACACACACACACACACACACACACACACACACACACACATCTAATATCCAAATTGTCATTACCTCTGATAAAC